CAGGGGGTGACGCAGCGCTCTCCCGAGAAATCTGGGGACTTACCAAGTGGGTAAGAGCAAACACAACATGCTCACCCCCTCTACTTAAACCTCCACACATCCGAACAAATTCTGAACTCTTCAGCTCTGAACCTGATTTTCTAAGTTAAACAATCACATTCATTTTAACTTCTGCTCATACATTATTTTTCCATTTCTTCAGTCAGTGTGGCCTGAACCTAAATGGATCCAAATCCTCCTTAACCTGAGTACCACAGGCCTGGGAGGTAAAAATGGTGCAGTGACACAAGAGCAAGGATTTGGCTTTAAAGCACGTAGCAAGAATGTGATTCCTTCATACTCGTAGTTTTTAAAGCCACCCTCTTGAAACTCACACGAAAGTATTTTAGGGGTTATCACCCGCCCTAACTCTACAAGTCGCACTGCGTGCTGTACTGGAAGGAAAACACCTCTCTGGCAAAGATGATCGCTTCTTAAAATTTCAGCCCGCGAACTTGATGACCAGAGAGTCACAGCACAGGAAGTGAAGAGACGGCAGCACAAGCAGGGACTTTCCTGTCATCCACTTAAGTATCACCACATCCTCCCAGCAATCCTGGCTTAAGGATCGCCCGTAGAGAAGGGCTCCCTTCCCTGTAGCTCCCCGACTGACCATGAGGATCTGTACTACTTCCTTTTGACCCTTATGACAAGTCTGTGAGAGAAGTACGAAATGACAATATAAAATGTTAATGAAGTACAAAATGGTAAGAAAACAGAAACACAAGCACCCCTGCAGCTTGCTGTCATCACCCGGCAGAGAAACCACAACCAAAGCCCTGACTTCGTAGGTACATCACGTAGGCCACAAGATGTCACATTCCAAAGTGAGAGGTGGTGCTGGGTATACGACAACGTGAAAGTACTTAAAGCCACTGAACTTAACTTTCTAAGTTAAACAATCACATACTTAGCAATAGTTTAGACAGTATATTTTACATTGTATGTATTTTACCATAATAAAAATTAGAAAGATACAAGTTCATAAAAAATGCACCAGGTACTACCTTGACCTATGAGTCTTTGCTTTGGCGCAGTCACTTCCACAAAGGTTCTGGTAATGAAGAAGAAACCGCTTTACACTTTATGTGCAACCTCGTCATTTTCAGGAGCTGCCTGTGAATCACCTACTTTTCTTCTTCTTCGTCTTCCTTTCCTTCACTCGTATTCTGCCACCCCATCACTCATCCATTTAGTAGGCACTTACACAGCAACCTAGCAGCGGCCCAGCGGAGTCCTAACGTGGGTGCTCAGCGTTCGAGCCCTGAAACAGCTCCCCAGCAGCTGGTGAGCAGCTGCTACCACCAGCCCCTACCCAACCCCACAACCTACGCTTGCCCACGACTCAACACGGCAAGAAGCCTGCAGGCCTCTGCCCAGCTCTGCGGCCAGCTTCCAACTCCGATGGGCCTCGGCTCTTGTTAAATACTTTATCACCCTCTAGACACACGTCTCTACCCTCTAGTCTGGGAAAAAGGTGCATAAACAGAACGCTTTCCAATTGTAGAGTGCTGTACAGAAAATAAAACACTGCAGCCTGGTGGGTAACAGGAAGACAGCAGGGTAAAATGTGACAGCCTGAGACAGCACGGTGAGCGGGAACGAAGCATGCAAGTGGCTGAAAAAGAACACTCCACGTGGAGAGACCAGGCATGCCACGGCCTCCTGATGGGAACGAGTGAGAGATTTCCACAGTCAGAGGCCCAGAGAGATGGGACCAGCCCAAGAAAGGACTTTACAGAGGTAGACAAGGTCAGGTCAGAAAGAATCTTAATGGCACGGTGAGGAGGACACATTTTATGCCAAGAAGAGCGCGCAATCAGATCTGAGACAGGTGCTTTAATTTACATATTGTGCGTCTATTACTGAGGTTGTTTTTGCTTCTTGGAGATGGGTCCTCAAAATCGTGGGCTCAAATGGTCTTTTCTTCTCAAGCTCCCGTGAAGCTGGGACTACAGGTGTGTCCTGCCACACCCAGCTCTAATTTGTATTTGTAAAAGAGCAGTCTGACAGTCATGTGGCAACTAAATTAGAAGGAAGCAAGAATGTAAAAAGGAAAGCAGAAAACAACGAATAAAGCCGCGGTGGTGGTCCAGAGGGACAATGACGGAGTCTGGGTCTAGGTCAGGGATGCGAACCTTTCTGAGCTTTCAATAAGGAACTGCCAGCCGCAGCACGTGTGCTGCAGATCAGCCAGGGCTACTCCAGGCGACGCTGCGTAGTGGGAAGATGTATAATTTGTGACTAGAAGTGTAGGCGGGTAACTAGGGGAATGAACAGATTTGGGGAGAGAAAGAATAAAAGCAATAAATGTGAGATAGCACTTAGATATGTAATGTGGAGCTACCTATCATACAGGCAGTTAGGTATTTGATCTCCACAGCAACTTCTGTGAGACAGACAGGGAAACCCTGGTATTAACCAAATTCTACCAATTAGAAAACTAAGACTTAGTGATTAAGGCTGTCTTAAGTATGAAATATTTTTATGAGTCAATTCTTTTTGGAGCGGGCGAATTCTACGTTTTGAAAGAAAAGGTCACCTTCACTGTCACAGATTTCTCTGAGAGCAAACATACCTACCTGGCTTGTCCCACAGTGTGTGTCTGCTCCAAAGGTAGAAGCCTTTGTGTCCAGGAAGGGTCCCTCAGAAGGCTGAGACTTTGCCAGCTAGCAACACTGAGCACTTATGAAATCTAACTGAGATGTATGAGGAAGGCACGTTACCGTCTTCTTACTAGAGTTGTGTCAACAATTAAGGACAAAGAGACGATATGAAGAAAGGCATAAAACTCCAAAAGGACCACAATTCTTAGTGTCATTTTTATTAAGGGTTTGGGTCAAATAGCTTTCAGGGGAACGCAGCTCCAAAATTAGATCAGGAAATCAATTGGGAAATGACCGATACAAGAAAAATCACTTTACGGCGAGTTACATTGTCGCTTGCATGTAAGACAAGCCCATGCTGTGCTCAGCACCCCCTCGCCCTGCTGGCATTGTTCTTTCTCTCCTTGGTTTCTTTAAAGTGGTGGAAAGTTCTGCCTAAAGACAACGTGGACTCCGCAGGGGTTTTTGTCACACACTCAGTGCATCTATTAGAACTATAACTAGTTCACTGCAAAATTCTACAGGTGCTCTAGGAAATGAAGGGCCACGCTAACCAAAACAGCAAGGGTAAGTGAGGAAAGGCAGAGGGGCAAAGAAGAGAAACGGGGGCTAGGAAGAGTAAGAGTGGTAGCGGGATGCCCTCTTCTTCATGGCAATCCTTTATGACGAAGGATCCAAGAATAACACACTCACCAGGCATCACAAACCCCTCAGGAAAGACATGCTGCCGGCGTGGCTCGAGTCCAGACGTGAGCGCAAGCACTCCTTATTTTAATCACAGTGCCAACCCTCCGTTTCAGGTGAGCAGCAGTTATCAGCATGCAGTGAAAAATAAGCACGCCTGCTGAATTTGGCTGACCAGCACTGCCCTGAACCTACCTGCCGAAAGCCACATTTTCATGCAGGTTCTGTGCAGCAAAAGCTTGGCTGGTGCTACCAATATGCTAGTGTCCTGAGAATGGGACATTTAGGAGTCATCACCTCCAAGCTCTCTCTTTTTTTTTTGGTTTTTCTCCGGTACCGGGAACCGAACTCACAACCTTGCGCTTGCCAGGCAGGCGCTTTTGCCGCTGAGCTAAATCCCCAGCCCCTCAAGCTCTCTCATTTTACACCTAACTAAGTAAACCTAAGGGGAAGTGCCGCCCACCGGTAGGGAGCCCCTTCATGATGGACGCTCCTGTCTGTCTGACTGAGAGCACAGCCTTCACAACAGCACCCCCGGGCCGTGCCCTGGGCTTCAGGCCTGATGTGCAGAGAGCGACGTCTCCCAGCCAAGTCCCTTCCATCAAGGCCTCCAGAACGAGGTCACGCAGCAGTGTGCTTCCGGGCTGCAGAGAAGCTGGCCTTCCCCATAGATGAGGGGAAGTGATCTCTCTCCCCCTGCACTTAGCAACACACTGCTAACTAGACGACACCAGACATCTCTCTGAAAAGCTCTTCTAGGCTGCAAGGGCATTTTAACACTGATGGGTTCTGCCCTCCCAAGTTTTTGCCCCGTCTTAGCATATGTGGAAAATTCCAGAAACGGTGATGTTTTCCTATGTAATTCTTATTGACATTTAGTATGTGCGGAGAACAAAAAAAAAAATCTACTCAAGATTTTTTTAAAGGTCTTGTCTACTTACGTGGGAAATTGTAATGTATGTATGATTTATATTCAGTTTTACTACTGCAAGCGTTTGTATAAAAGAGATGAATGGATTGATGATTTTAAAAAAGGATTCTAGTGCTCTATCTACAGCAATCTCAGATACCTTCTCCCAAAAAGGGAACACCTTAACAGACTGTAAAAGTTTTCCATAATTTTTTTTGTGAAATAGGGTCTCACTATGTAGTTCAGGCTGGCCTTGAACTCACTACGTGGCCCTGGGAGGCCTCGAACTCACCTCTTGCCTGAACCCTCCTGCCTCAGCCTCTCAAATGCTGGGATTACAGGCATGGGCCACCACACCCAGCTGTAAAATTACTTTTCTTTGAAAAAAATAATTTTTAATATTTTGCCGAGTCTGTTTTGCTCATGTCTGTTTTCCCTGTCATCCACCCTTGCGCTTCACCTACCTACACACGCTACTATTTTTCCCGGAAATGTTCTCACCAGGTATTCTTTTTATTAAAACACAGAACTGCGGAATCCAAGCTACACACTGTGGTGGCAGCTGCCTCTCACTAGCTACCGGAAAATAAAATCTTACAAGTAAACACTGCAGCAGCGCCAGTCCACACTTTCAACACAGGTCGGTACCCAAGCCACTAACCCTCTCCCCCTCCTGCAATCCCCTGGTGAAGTAGCCTGGATTGAAAGGGGGAGCATTCCATTGTGCTGATTACAGAAAATAACCATGAAGAGATACTTACAGCATAAGCACCTATCAAAAATGCTGCATTTGCTCTTTTCCGTTGGTCAAAACAGGTGTAGTGCACAATTTTCTTTCTTGATAAACTGTATGACTATAAAAAAGGGATAAAAAAAGCATATGACCATAATGACAGCATTAAAATACATAGAAAACAACCACCATTTCTTGGCATTCAGGGATGTGTTACAGTCTGAAAACTTTAACAACTTCCATAGCATTTGAAGGGGCGCATTTGGAGGCTGGGTGATGAGCTCATTTTCTTGGAGGCCAACATGATGGAAAAACTGACAATATAACCTGCACATCTCCAGGAAAGAAACGGATACGGTGGGCAGCAGTAAAATCATTACGATCTCGGTCACCAGGAACTATTTCTGATGATTGACTCACCTTTTTTATGTACAGTCTAGTCAATCTTTTTCACTCCCTGCACACAAACCCCATGCCAAGAAAAGTTATCTGCACTACTCATATTTTACAATTTGTTTTTCAATGTGCCAACGAAAAACTTTAATTTTTAGATACCAATATTAATATTCTTTTTAGAATGTCTTATAATAATTCCCTTTTAATTAACTGAAAGTAAGTGGTTAATAGGAGATAAGCCATCGAAAGAATATCAGCAAATATCTTAATATAACACCATATATTAAATTCATGGGTTCAAACAGTTGTTAAGCACTTGCTATATGCCAGGCAATATGCTGCATGCTTAAGTATTTAACTAAACCCAAAATAAGCGTAGTATGTTTTACACATGCTAAATATGAAAATAAAAATAAAAATACATGACAAATGAAAAGGTCTGTTTAATGAAATAAAATTATTCATCAACCTCAACTACATCTACAATGATGAGAATGCTGATGTAACTCAATTAAACCTAATTCCTCATAGTTCAAAAACCACTACATTATCCTGACAAATGATTTTCAGAATAGAGGCACACAGGTGCATTTTCCTGTTGTAACTCACACTGACCATACACGTGGCTTCTCATATCTTATACACTGAACACAAGGCACAGAGAATTCTTTACCATGCAAGTTTCTATAAGGAAAAGAAACTTAGAAATCCATTCTAAGAATGGCACTGCACAGCTGCGCGTATCCCAGCCATAAGCCAGTCACACCGCTTCGGCACTTCTTTCATAACCAAAAATCACATCCTTGGAAAATGGCAGTGTCCTTTTTCATGGGACTTTTAAAACTTTATGTTTCACCCAAAGACAATCTCCACTATAAATGTCCTTATTTTCTGACAGATTTATGAAAATAGTCCTAAGAAGTAAAAAGAGAAAAAAGTAATGCTGCTTCATTCAGTATACTTGAGTTAATACCCATTCTGAAGATTTCATGGTCTCACCAACGGAAGTGACATCTGTCACCTTGCTTTCAACTACCGACAGCCTGGACATTTCCTTTACTATTTAATTCTACTATTTGTTATTGGGTTGTTTTGCTATTTATTATTCTCCACACATGTTATGTTTGGTTTACCAAAACAGGAGTGAAGGCTCTTTAGACCTACGCATCTCCTGTCATCTAGGAATCCCGGACACCTGCAGGCAATCTCACACGGCCGCCCGGAGCCAGTGACTGTAAGGCCTCACCGGATCTTCTGGCCCCACCCTCTCACCCCCATCTCCTAGCCCCCCAGAACTCAGTGGGCAAGAAAATATCAACAACCCGTCTTCAGTCTGCATTATCTCTTATCACGGTTTTCTTCTCGTAAGAATTGAGGTTTCACGCTAAACTATTACCGTCTGATGGTGTGGAAGCGTACACACTCAACAAATCTGCTTGGCAAACATGACAACTCAGATCGTTGTTCTTTCTCAGCCTTGCTCATTTCTTGGCTGTGCTTGTTCTGGGGCTGGGGAGGCGGGTATTGTTATGGGGTTTCTTGGAAATATGTTACGAAAATGGAGCTATGCTTTGGGGTATTTATGCTTATTTTTCATTCTCTCTCTCTCATTCTAAACTACACAGGACAGAGATTCGTAGCGTGGGAGCACGAAGCTGAACGACAGTACACAGGGAAAGGTGCCATCCCCGGCATTTACCTGGCTCAGATGTTTTTGGAATTAAATTTTTCTTAAAAGCACTGCAGCTAAGAAACAACCCTCTGCTTAGTGAAGCTTGAGCAGAAGACTAGGTCAGATCACAGAGAGCTGAGCGCTCATTCAAGTAATCAAAGTTAATTCAAAGTGAATGATATTGGAGAAAAACATATGTACTGTAGCTTTGTCCTAATTTCCTCTTCGCCAGAGCCACACCTCTCTCTACGGGTCGCCTTGGCCCACTGCTGAATACCAGGGGTACCGCACCCCGGAAGAGACACTCTGGTGCTGCAACAGAAAATATTACGGAGAGTAAAACATTTTGTCAGCTATTTAGCTGATGTTTTAAATTGCTAGATTAAGACACAAAAACGTTCAATCCTTTTACAGGGATTGAATCTAGGCCTTCAAACTAAGCTGCACTCCCCTCCCCTTTGTTTAAATTTTGACACGAAGCCTCCCTAAGTTGCCAGGATGCCCAGACCGGGCTCAAACTTGTCATCTTCCTGCTTCATCCTCCAAGACTGCTGACAGCATAGGAATGGCTACCAGCCCCTGCTACAAAAACTCTTCAGTGTTTTTCTCTTCAAATAGTAAACACACTTCTCCCTTTAAAAACAAATCCTGGGGCCGGGGATTTAGCTCCGTGGCACAGCACCCGCCTGGCAAGCATGAGGTCGTGAGTTCAATTCCCGGTACCGGAAAAAAACCAAAAAAATAAAAAAATAAAAACAAATCCTACCTATTACCTAATCAAAGCCCCCTAGGAGAAACCAAACCAGCCAGTGGGAATGATAACTGGGGGCATGAACCTCATCCTTGAAGATCTTTCACGGAAGAATATCGCCATGTAGTTTGGAGACAACGACATTCGACTTTACGAATGAGCCCACAGATGTTTCCTCAGAATCCCGAGAAAATATCTGCCTCCCTCCGGACAGCTGCCTCCTCAGTGCGGCCTGTGTCCTCCACAGCAGGCAGGCCCGCAGCCCTTCAGGAATACCGCAAGGGATGCCGTGAACTCTGGCCTGCAGGGAGCGAGCCCTTCTGCTACAGATTATATCCACTTTATGTAAGAAGTTCCAAGGCCACACACAAAAACAGTGGGTACAACAGCAAAGCGAAGTTAGGAACTGGTCAGACCCCACGAATCCCAAGGGTGTTACAGAGGGAATACCAAGGCCTCCTTGCCTGTGTCGTAGAGAGCCTGCTCATACCCACTGCAAGGCACCCTCTGCAGGTGCCATATTCTGTATTTCTGCCCTAAAATGAGCTCTTCCTATATTTTAGCTTTCTGACTTAAAAGTGGAGTGTGTAGCCTGCTGAACCTTCTAAGCTACGTGGACACAGCTCTCTAACAGCAAAAACAGTGACCGTTAACATCCGTCACCTGCTATCTCCCATCGTTTTTCAGAGCAAAGAGGACAGGACCGCAGGGGCCCGGTTTAAGCGGACACTGAGTGTCTCCCGCAGCAGAAGTCCGGGGCAAGGCGGAAGTGTAACGAGCACACTGTGTGTCACCAGGAGAACACACAGCGGGGCCGGAGGGGCCTGCCGCGCACATTTACAAAGCAAGTGTGGGAGGCAGGGGAAATCCCCAACTGCCCACTGCGCTTCACAACTTGTACAAATCTCCCTGACGAGGCCCTAACAAGTTTCATGCTCCAGAATTTAAGCAGCTCTCAGGCTGGATTGGTCAACATTACTAAATTTTTTTCAGAAATAAAAAGTGAACTATCTCAATATAGACTACATTACATTTTGCTTTAATACTTTATTTCAACCTCTGAAAAGATTGATTTGGTGTGACCTGAGGAGCTGCTTAAAATACAGACTGCTGGGCCTCACCCCCCGAGTCGCTGATTGAATGGGACAGGACCTGAGCATGTGCACTTCTATCAAGTTCCCCAGTAAACTAGGTGATAGTCCAGAAACCACACGCTGAAATCCACTAGTCTAAGACACTGCCACATTTTAGAGAAGAGCTGCACACAAAATGACTGGTCCAGTCCCTGGAAATCCTGGGACCCACACTGTCCACCTGGACAAGCAGCCCCAAAGGAAATCTAAATTCTCTTGTGAAGAAACTACAAACCACGTTGTACAATTTTTTTTTAATTACTATGAGTTTGTAGTACATAATACTTACATAAAAAGCACGCTACAAAAACCCTTCCCTAAACTCCTCAGAAAACCTTTACTACAATTTGCAAACTCATGCATTGCAGATAACAGCACCTTAAGAACAAGTTCCTTTATGATGTAATGGTTGATACACTGTGTCAACTTGAGAAGTTCAAAAGTTTAGCTAAGTGACTCAGCTGCGGTGGGGGGGGTCCTCACTTTGTAAACAACCTGAGCCTGTGCAAGAGAAGGGTGGGTGTATATAATATAAAGGAGGAAAAGAGGCTAGTTCCCTCTCTTTTGCTCTTGCTGCTTTTGCTGTCTTCTGCCACCTTGAACTGTTGCGCTGTGCCATGCTACCCTGCTTTGGAGCCAGCTGATTACGGACTGAAACTGCCGCAAACTGTGAGCTAAATAAACCTTTTCTGCCTTAACTTTGAGTGTCCCGTATTTTCTCTCAGCAATGAAAGAAAAGTAACTAAGACAAATGACTTTATAATTAAGCTGTTATAAATGAAATTACACTACAAGTTCCAAAGTCAGACGCTTTCAGGGGCCAAGAGTCTGGAATGGGACACTTGGCAAAACGGAAAAGCATTCCCTATCCAAGACACACTGAGCTCCAACCCACCGCTGCCATCCAGGAGACTGAGCAGAAGCATCAAATACTGCAACATCTAAAAGCCCCAAGTCCAGAATTTCATGGAGATTTTCCTATTCACAGATGTCGACTGTGAATTTACATTTTTTACAACAGCATTCATGCCCAACAACACGTCTGTGAACTGCATGTGAGGCACTGGCGAGCAGGTGTGGGTGTGCACGCCAGGACACCGCAGCAAGAGGAGCGTCTACCGGCTCTCTCCGCGTGAACGGGGCAGCTGCTGCGTGTCAGACACCCTGGG